TGGAAAAAGGAGTTATTGTCCCGGTGAATTCTGTGGAAGGTTCTGTTTCTCTTTACTGTTACAGTATGCTAGGAGTTAATGAGGGCTCTCCACAAAATGGCTGTTCCAAAACCGCATCCCCTCTAGCAAAGAACTTATGTGTGTTACTTACAACACAGTTTGGGGAAAGGTCCAGAGAATAAAAATATATCTGTCTGCCTTTCAATTTCCTTGAAACTTTTGGCCTTCTTGGCCTGCCTTGTTCAGGCTGTAAAACCTTTAAAGCTTCTAGGGCCTAGGCACCAAGGTTGCCAGCCTCCAGGTGAGGCCTGGAGACCTCCCAGAATTACAGTGGCTCTCCAGAGATCAGTTCCCTGGGAGAAAATGGCCGTTTTGGCAGGTGGGCTCTAAGGCATTATACCCCACCGAGGTCCCCAAACCCTGCCTTCCCCACTCCCAAATCTCCAGAGATTTCCCAACCTGAAGGCCTAGCTGAGACCTTGTTAGGTAGGGTTGCCAACCTCCCCAGTTTGCCAGGGGTCTCCCATTTTGGGGGGGGTTCTACCCAACACCCAACACCCACAGCCACCCATCTCTCTCCCTTTAAGTGTGTGCAACCCGTGTTTCATCCCAAGCGCGAACTCCGCAAGCTTGCAGGGAAAAGCCAGCTTCGTTCTTAAAGGGGAAACACAGCTGCTCTTAAAGGGGAAACGCCGGCTACTTTAACTGCAGGGAACTGCTGTTTCTGGTGATCCGGCGCACGGGCGGGGGGGGTGGCAGACGTCCCCAACGTGACATCATCACGTTGGGGATGCCCCACCCCCTCCAGGAACGCCCCCAAAGTCCCCCTGCTGGGGGTGGAAGATGGACTTGGCAACCCTACTTGTAGGACAAGGGGAAAAGAATGATTTCTGACACTCTCTTTTTGATATATATCTTGACAGCTGTCATTGTGCCTTTAAAAGTTGAATCATAATAGATTCAGATCTTGGTATGTGACCTAGAATCTTCTGATTAGAGATTACAGCACATTTTTTGTATAAGAAGCCTTTGTAGATGGAATTAGGAGTTGCAAGGACGCCAAGAGCCAAGTTTAATGTGAATCATAGTCCTTATCAGCCAGCTCTCCATAAGCGAGGCCAGAGAGGGTCCCAGTGCTCTCTAATGTTCCCAGTGTTCTGAAGACCAAATAAACAAATGCAGTGACTGACATACATGACCAGTATCAGGAGACCAATAGTAAGGCTTAGAGTCAAATGTTCTTATGGCACAGTGAAAATAGAGACCTGTTCTGTGCAGGCCAAACAACCTACACACAAGGAACTGGAAGGAGATTTGGGGTCCAGGCCTAGGATTGTGAGCTCTGGGTTGGGAAAAACCTGGAGATTTGGGAGGTGGAGCCTGTTATGACTGATCTCCGGATGACCAAGATCAGTTCCCCTGGAGAAAATGGCTGCTTTGGAGGCTGGGCTCCATTATACCCTGCTGAGGTCCCTCCCCTCCCCAGGCTCCACCCCCCCCAAATCTCCAGGTATTTCCCTAGACTCTGGGGAGGGTGAGGTTTGGGGAGGGGAGAGACCTCAGCAAGGTATAATGTAGGGTTGCCAAGTCAAAAAACCTCACTGGCGGGGGAGCCTCGCGGGCTCCGGGAGCCGTCCTCGGATGCGCGCGCACACAGCACGTCATAGGGTTGCCAAGTGGAACTTACCTTGGCGGCGGGGGACTCCTGGGTGGATCCCAGAGCGCGTGCATGCACCACACACCCGTCACCAGGAAGTGACGCGGGCACGCTGGGGGCAGGGCCATGACCATACAAGGGAAAACCATAGAGTTTTCCCTTGTATGGCCATGGCCCCGCCCCCAGCGTGCCCAGCGTGCCCGCATCACTTCCGGGTGACGTGCACGTCGGGGAGGAGTTCCCCCCGGGGCCCGATCCGGCAGTGCCGGGGAACGGGCCTCTGGGGCAGGGGTTTCCCCACCCCCCGGGGGGACTTGGGATCCCTAGCGCGTCACCAGAAGTGACGTGCGACGTTGACCACGTTGGGGGCATGGCCCGGATCGTCAGAGGGAAAACCATAGAGTTTTCCCTCCGACAATCTGGGCCATGCCCCCAATGTGGTTGATGTGGTTGCGTCACCTCTGGTGACGCAGCCACGCTGTGCTTTTGGGGGGCGGAGTTCCCCCCGGGGCCCGATTCCGCGTTGGTGGAAATCGTGCCTCCAAAGTGGGGGTTTACCCGCCACCCGCCCCCACTTGGCAGCCCTAGTACAATGCCATAGAGTCAACCATCTAAAGCAGCCATTTTCACTAGGGAAACTGTTCTCTGTAGTTTGGACATAAATTCTTATATTTATATCCCACTTTTCTTCCCATGGGGACCCAAAGTGGCTTACAACAAATTCAATTCAAGTACTACAATTAAAAGAAGAAGAGGAGGAGAAGGTGGGAAAGACTCCAAAAAAAAAAACCAGGTCTCCACCTCCAGGAAGATCTTCCTCCTCAGTCTGTGCTACAAGACTGACAAACGTTGGGCATGCCCAGGTGGTCTTAAATACCCATGTAATGCTGAGGATAAACAGACTCAAAGATATTCTTCAGCTGCTGCCAGCCAGTTACTTTGCAGGATCCTCCCTGTCTGTCAGACAATAATGGCTCCGTAGGATGTAGGAATGCTTCAACCATCACTGAATAGAACACAAGCTGCTGTTTTAAGTAAAGTTCAGTACAATGCCCTTGACTAGTCAGATAATCAGTGCCATAATAGATATGTGATGTATAAAGTTAGGAAGTTTGAAAGGAAATGGTATTCCATTAAAGAAGTGGTGCTGCTGTTCTTAGACGCTGAAAAGGCCTTCGATAACCTGTCATGGAAATTTCTACTCCAAAAATTAAAAAGAGCAGAGTGCGGGCTGTACTTTCATAAAATGGTTAAATCTCTCTACTCAACACAATATGCTAAAGTAATAGTGAATGGGGATTTAACTAACAACATAAAAATTCAAAAGGGATCAAGACAGGGGTGTCCTATGTCACCCCTGTTGTTTATATTCGCTCTAGAATCTTTGACTGATAGGATAAGGAGTAATAACTTGACTGAAGGCCTAAAAATTAAAGATGAAACATATAAGCTATTAGCATTTGCGGACAATCTAGTGTTTATCCTAGAGAATCCAAAAACATCAATAATACATTTAATGGACACGATTGTAGACTACAGACAAGTGGCAGGACTTAAAATAAATTATAAAAAATCAAAGATGATATCAAAAAATTGTTTACCTAAAACATTGCAAGAAATTAAAAAGGAAACGACTATGGAATTGGTAAGGAAAGTCAAATATCTTGGAATAAACATTACAAATAAAAGTAGTTCATTGGAAGAGGATAATTATAAGGAGCTATTGAAAGAAATAACAAAGAGTTTTGTTCCTAGCTCAAAGTATACCGATATTAAAGAAACAGAATTTTTTCAAAGAGCTAAATAAAATCATGAGACAATTTATTTGGCAGCACAAAAAGGCGAGGATAAAATGGAAAACCCTGCAGGACAGAAAAGATAGAGGAGGACTAACTGTATCTAATTGGTATATATATTACCAAGCGGCGGCCCTAGTCTGGATCAGAGACTGGATCACCTTGGAGAATAAGAGATTACTCTTATTGGAGGGCCATGATCTATCAATGGGCTGGCACGCATATACATGGTACGGTAAGGATAAAATACATTCAAACTTTAATAAACACTGGTTAAGAGATGCCCTAAATAAAGTATGGAGTAAAATCAAGGAGAAATTTTATAAGACACCAAGGTGGGTTTCACCCTTGGAGGCATTTATCCTGCCAGCCCTATTAACGGCAAACAAAAAACTAACATATCAGACATTATTAAATAGAGAAAATAAATTAATAATAGAGGAGAAGTTGTTAAGGGATAACATACTATCTTGGTGGGAAAAGATAATGTTGCAAGACAGATTTTAAAAAGACATGGTGAGAGGCTTTGAAGGCAGTAATAATGAGCTAGACAAAATTTGGTTGTCTACAAAGCAATAAATTAATACAGAAACTGTATCGGTTTCTGTTGGATGATTTTGAAAAAGACGAGGAAGTGAAAGGTGTAATGAATAAATGGATGAAAGATATAGGGAAACAGATAGAATTAGATAGGTGGACTAAAACATGGGACTCGCTCAAGTATATGAGAGCCATAGCCTACAAAGAGAACGTTTATGAAATGTTTCACAGATGGCATTGGTCCCTGGAAAAAATAGCCAAATGTTACTCCGGATACTCCAGTCAATGTTGGAAATGTAAGGCCAATAAGGGGACTTTTTTCACATGTGGTGGACATGCAGCAGAGTTCAGGAATACTGGAAAATGGTGAGAAGACTGATCCAAGAAATTATGTGTAAAAACCTAGCATTGGAACCGGAGATATACTTATTAAATATGGTACCTAAGGGTTATGGACAGCAGGACAAATATGTAATAGTATATATTATAACCGCTGCCCGTTTATTACTGGCCAAGAACTGGAAATTAGACATAATACCTAAGAAGGAGGACTTAGTTGCAAAGGTGCTAGATCTAGCACAGATGGATAATCTAAGCCTGAAGCTGCCGAATAATTATGGGAAAGTGTATAATAAAAGATGGGTTAAGGTGTATGAATGGATAGAGACATTGAATGTATGAGACTCTACAATATATGTTACCTATGCATTGGAATGTTAATTATTGTAAAACCAAATAAAAATATAATGGGGAAAAAAAGAAAGGAAATGGCATTCCATCCTCTGCTGTTTCTTTTCCTGTTTTCCCCTCCTCTCTTCCTTTTTAAGAAATCCCCACATTCTCAGCTGCACAAATGCTTACCTCACAATGCACAAATAGTCTTCACACTGTACAAAATGTGTCAGGGGGGCTGCATGTTTTGATAATAGCCATGTTCCTCAGGAGTCGATGAAGTGATAAATTGCCATTCTGTGTTTTGAGCTGATACCACCATTTGTTACCTGCAGTACAATCACGGCAAGTTGTGTGTCAAAAGACAGTAGTGGTGTGGTTCTTCCCCCCTGCCCAGCTGAGCAAAAAAACAGTGAAGTGCCTCCTTGTCAAAAGGATTTTCCTGTGTCAGCAGCTGCCAAGAAGCAACATCCTCAGTGGAACGATGACGGGCAAAAAGAAGATCAGGTCAGTGAGGCCTTTTATCCCCCCCCCCCTTTTTTAAGGTATGGATTTCTGTCCTCCAGAAATGCAAATGTTGATCAACTGGAGGGCCAGCGGACAAGATGCAGAATAGGGCATAGGATGCCTAATGCTGTGGGACTTTTTGGCTACGGCTTGATTCTCTTAATATCTAAAAAGTCTGAAGTTTTGGATCACTGGGGAAGTCCTGCGGTGACTCTACGGTGGCTGTTTCTCAATTTGCCTGGAGTCATCAATGATACCATGTGCCTGCTGCTGACAAGGCCTGCAAGTTTCCTTACGAAAGTATGATTCTGAACGCATAGAGAGTGCATAAGGAGGTTCCACCCCACACACATGCACAATACCTGGATTGAGATTGTTAAATACTGGGTTCCATGGATGGTCTGACCCCAAGCCTAGTGATCAGTTCTCCTTTATTAGTGACTATGTGCAAGGCCCGTTGCGGGAAGAGAGGCAACGAACCCTAGAGAGAGGCCGCCGGTGGGCTCCCCCCACGCACTGGCAAAGAAGAGCGCGGTGGCTCCCCGGAGCCCAGGCTCGCGCCTCCCCCGGCCACGCACAGGAGGCAGCGGGGCAAGCCAGTTTGGTGTAGCGGTTAAGTGCACGGACTCTAATCTGGGAGAACCGGGTTTGATTCCCCACTCCTCCACTTGCACCTGGCTGGATGACCTTGGCCAAGCCATAGCTCTGATAAGAGCTGTTCTTGAAAAAGAGCAGTTTCTGTCAAGAGCTCTCTCAGCCCCACCTACCTCACAGGGTGTCTGTTGTGGGGAGGGGAAGGGAAAGGAGTTTGTAAGCTGCTCTGAGACACCTTTGGGTAGTGAAGGGCGGGGTATAAATCCAATCTCCTCCTCCTCTTCTTCTTCTTTGTCCCTCCTCTGTCAGCGCGCTGGAGGCGGTGGCTGCCAAAGGCGGCAGGCCTCATCCGTCAGGCTACATGTTCGTTAATAAACATGAACTTATAAAAGGGGTCTGGAACGCATTTTTGCTGCTTCTATCCAGGAGACCAGTGGCACGTCCTGACACTAGCCATACCTTGTGCCTACTGAAGTGAGCAGAAAATGCCACCCAGGATGCTTAACAGCCTTTAATATCATGGTCTAAAACAGGGGTCCCCAACGTGGTGCCCACCAACACCTTTCCTGGCACCCGCCAAGTGTTTTTAAGAAGTGGGTGGAGCCAGGTGAGGCTTTTTCCCAGCAAGGCTTCTGATTGGCCACTGGAAATTTGATTGGCTGTGCAGATTTTTAAAACTGTTGCATTAGCGGTGGCAGCTGCCACCACAGCACACAGATCTTTACTGTATGACTGAAGGTAAGCTGTGACAGTCATTTAGTGGCTGGCTCTGCCTCCTTCAGCAGTTGTTTCGTGGCAGCCGTTTTTATGGCTGTGCCCACCACGCGGCGTCTGAGCTCCAAAGGTGCCTGCAGGCTCAGAAAGGTTGGAGGCCCCTGGTCAAAAATGTCTGTTTTGCTGCCCCTGTCCTTTTCATTTTCTTGATTTATTTTATTTATTTATTTACCTTCAATTTGTGTCCCGCCTTGCCAGTGCAAACTGGCTCAAGGCGGCTCACACAAGTTAAAATACAATAAAACGAATAAATACAATCAAAATTTCAATACGAACAATTACATAAAGTGCTAAATATACACAGATGGCGGAGATCAGTCTGATGAAGAGTTCTGGAGAGCCCAAAGGCTCGCAAATGATGTCATGTTGTTTTGGTCGGTCCTCGTAAAAGGGCTTTTGTTTTTGGACTTATGCTAAGCAAGAGACTCCCAATGATTTTTTTTTTAAAAGGCTTCTGCTGGAAGAAGAGTCTTGGATCCAAACCATTTAGTAGAAAAGCAGATGTAAATTTTTCTCTCGATAAAATAAACTTGCTGCGTGTACTCTGACACGTCTCCATCTCCTTTCCAGCCTTCCAGCAAAATTAATCAACGGAGGTATAGCCGGGCTTGTGGGGGTGACCTGCGTCTTCCCTATTGATTTAGCCAAAACACGACTCCAGAACCAGCAAGGACAAGGCGTCTACAGTGGAATGTACGTACTTCGAGACCTTCTCAAGTGTGGTAGGCTTGAAGCTCACTGCCTTTTGGTTATGAACAGGGCTATTTTTGGTCAGGAACGCACAGGAATGGAGTTCCGGCTGGCTCCCAAGTTGGCCACGCCCAGCAGGAACTAATTAGCATAATAGGCCACACCCAACAGCAGAAACTCATTAGGATTGGCTACATTAGGGGTGTGTGGCCTAACATGCAAAGGAGTCCCTGCTACATAAAAAGGCCCTGGGTTTTGACAACAAACAAGGTAAACAGAATAAGAAGCAAAAGATGGGTGTTACACTTCTGGTAACATGGGGATGCGGCCTAATGTGCTAATGAGCTGTGCTGTCAGGGGTGTGGCCCAATATGCTAATGAGTTCCTGCTGTTGGGTGTGGCCTATTATACTAATGAGTTCCTGCTGGGCTTTTTCTACAAAAAGAGCCCTGGTATGAATTTTTGGGGGGAATGCCTGCAGTGTTTCTCACTTCCCTATATTCCCCCCCCCCCTTGTTCATTTACATGATGTTCCGGAAGATGATCTGCCTACCAAATGCAAATTGCAACATGTTCTGGATCTGGTTTTATTGGGGTTTCAAGAGTACTGGATTGTGATTCTTCTTATTTGATGCTCCAGAGCTTGGGGAAGTCATCTGGCAAATTGACATGCAAGCTGTATGGGACTAGCCTTGAGGAATGTGTCAGCTCACATAGTAATTCAGACTGTCCAGTTTCCAAGAGGGAAGGCGGATAATGTCATGAATGGCTAGCAATTGCATAATGCTTCAAAATAGCCATGTTGGTCTTCTGTAGACAAACAAGATTGGAGTCCAGAAGCACCTTAAGGACCAACAAGTCTTGTCTTCTCTAATTAGACACAAAAGCCTTCTCTATTTTGCTGGCTTAAATACTCTCAATTCACATTATTAATACTTATAGTAGGAGCAAGCCAGTCCTTCTTTTCTAACTGGCTAGAAGCCTTCTGAACTTTAAATTTGGCTGGCAAGACTGGGTTGCTCCCAATATAGACACTTGAAATGGAACCAGAGGATAATTTGAAGAAAACATACTCTTGAGGCTTTGTAGAGAAGAAGTTAAACACTGGTTTGCTCCTAACATAACATTGAGCTGTATCAAGAGGCTGACACCTTTGAAGATAATAAAGATTACTCCTGAGGAAGATTGGGACGAAATGAGTCTATATCCGGGTGCTCCTTGAGAATGATGGACTTTTCCTTATACTATTGTGAAGATTTATTTATCTGTGATGTAATATGATGTTTTACTTGAAAAGATTTACTAAATGTCTTAGTCATTACATCACAGTGTTTGGTTGGCTGTATTTCCTGCTTGGATAACTGTGATCCCTCCTTGGTTTTTTCTGCTTGATTGCTGGGATTGAACATGGGATCTTCTGCATACTAAGGAGATGGTCTACCACTGTGCCATGGCCCTTCTTGGCAGAGGCCAGATTTGCACCAATTCTACCTTGTTTAGGACTCCTCATCACCACTGTATTGTACTAGCTTTCAGATAGGACTCATAGTCACTAGCTAGTTACAAATGGCAGCCAGTCTTGGCTTACTCGTGTTTTCTTTATTCCCCAATCTGGTTTCAGGCGGGATTGTTTGGTGAAGACCATTCGCTCAGAAGGGTTCTTCGGCATGTATCGAGGTACGTCTTTATAAAAACAGAAAGATCTTCTTCTACTGTTGAATTACAGTTGTACAAGGCCATGGAGTCAGCATTTGATTTTGAATTATCCTATTGAAGTCCATATGCTCCAGTGGGGCAAGCACACATTACAGAGTATGCACGTTGGATCTGAGGTCTTCACCCTGTGTAATAGTCAGACTTAAGTTATGAGTTTTCCACAACTCCTGCACACCTGGTGCCAGATTCAGATCAGTATTGCAGTTTTCCCAACCTGAAACAGTCTTGGGGCAGGTACTATTTGGCCCTCTGGGGAAACTCACATGTTTCCTGCGATACATCCCCTTTCGTGCCCATCACAATCCCTAAGGCTGTGCAACAGCACCCTCTTGAGTTCACTCTTTGTGCACCAAGTCCAAAAAGACTTGAAATACTTGGTAGCCTTTGCGCTGTGTGTTGAAATATTAGAACAACACAGTTCTGTTTCAATTGATTTAATCTGATTTTAAGGGATATTTATATGTCTTTGGGTCAAGTAGCAATTAATCACATTTTCAGAATTAGGTGCATCCCAAACATATATTTTGCAGGTGGGAAAACATGTTTGTTTACTCCGAAGCAAATCTTTGTTAATTTTCTCATCTTCACACAGGAGCTGCTGTAAATCTAACCCTGGTCACTCCTGAAAAAGCAATCAAGCTGGCAGCCAATGATTTCTTCCGGCAGTTGCTCACCCAGGATGGGTATGGTGAAAAGAGCACACACTCGTTTTTGGTGCACTCAAAACTTTTTCTTTTGCATCAGGCTGTGAAGATATGACCACACGTGTATCTGCCTTAAATTTTGTATGCGCTTGTTTGACTTTGTGAGCGGACTATATCTAGCTCTTATTCTTATGTATAAGACACTGTATACTTGCTTGCTTGCTTGCTTTGTGTATTGTGTTTATTCCAAAAAGGGAGGGGTGTGCATATATGTTTGTACACTCATGTGCATACATGGCTGTATAGACATGAACCTAGCAGCATCATTTGTGTGGACCCAGAACAAACTTGTAATATGCTCCCATCCCTCATGACCCCATCTCTGGGGTCATGAAGGAATAATATCTATTTCTGAAATGCTAACAAAATTTGTGGCAGGGTGTATGAGCTTTCATGAGTCACTGCTCATGTCTTCAGATACGTAAGCAGTGACTCACGAAAGCTCCTACCCTGCCACAAATTTTGTTAGTCTTTAAGGCGCTACTCTGGACTCTTGCTGTTTTCTACTGCTGCAGACAGACTAACACGGCTACCCATCTTGATTTTTTTCTGGAATTCTGTAAACAGACAGGATTCGGGTAATGGGTTCTCAGCCTCAGCCAGACCCTTTTGGACTCCCATTATCTTCCCTCTGCCACGTAGGCCCTGTGAATGGATGTTTGCATAGTCAGGAAGAATTTATATACCAAAATGCTGGGAATACTATTACTTTGCAATTTAACGCACATGAGATTTGCTAGGATCTGAATGAACTGGAAAACACAATGACAATAATGGATAATTTCAAGGGCAATGATTTGACAACTACATTTGAATCCAAGAAATCTCTTGACTGTCTCCCAGTACTGTGAAAGACGAGCACATGTCAAGCTAGTGGCATTAGCAACTTTCCTACCATCGTCTGCTGGTGTACTTTTAAGCAGAACCAATTACATACACACACACACACACACATACAGGGGTCATTTCGTAGAAAAAGAGCTAGGGGAACTCATTAGCATAACTCATTAGCATATGCCACACCCCCTGACATCACTGGAAGTGTGTCATAAGGCCACACCTTCTGACATCACCGGAAATGTGTCATAAGGCCACACACCCCGCCCCCAACGGTCCCGGCCGCCGGTGCCGGCCTTGCAGCTCCACTGCCGAGCCCCATGAGGGGCCCGGCGGTGGACCTGCAAGGCTGGCGGGAGTGCAAGGAAGCCCCGCTAAGGCCCTCCCTGGCCCCAGGCAGGCAGGGGTGGGGAGAGGCAGGGAGGAAGCAACTTACCCTCCCTCTTCTCCTGCCTCCTCCTGGCTGAATGAGGGCCGGAAGCGGGGCGGCCGGAAGCAAGGGGTGGGGCTTCGTCATGTGCCCCCCCCGTACCTCACCCGGGGGAACTGCGTTCCCCCGCGATCCCCCCGAAATGACCCCCCCTTCTCTCTATATATATACACACATGTAAGTGCCATCAAGGAGCTGCGGTGGCTCAAGTGGTTAAGACGCTGAACTGCAGGCTGTGGAAGGTCAGTAGTTCAGCGGTTCAAGACCCGGGTGCCGCAAGACAGGGTGAGCTCCTGTCTCTAGTTCCAGCTCCTGCCAACCTAGCAGTTCGAAAGCAAGAAATTGCAAGTAGATAAATAGGTACCACTTCGGTGGGAAGGTAACAGCGTTCCGTGCGCCTTGGTGTTTAGTCATGCCGGCCACATGACCACGGAAACGTCTTCGGACAGCGCTGGCTCTTCGGCTTTGAAACGGAGATGAGCACCGCAACCCTAGAGTCGGATTCGACTGGCTTTCGAGCAAGGGAACCTTTACTTAGTGCCATCAAGTCACAACTAACTGATGGTGACCCCAGCAAGGGGCTTCTCAAGGCCAGTGAGAACTAGAAGCAGAGGTGGCTTGCCGTCACTTTTCCTCTGCAGACTCTTCCTCGGCGGGTCTCCCATCCAAGTACAACCCATTTTAGCTTCCAAAATCTGATGAGATTGGGCTATACCATGGTGCCTTCCCTCCTCAGCATCAATTAGCAGGTGATAATGTTTACCGTAGTGGAGCTGCGGTGGCTCAAGTGGTTAAGACACTGAACTGCAGGCTGTGGAAGGTCGGTAGTTCAGCAGTTCGAGACCCGAGTGCCGCATGACGGAGTGAGCTCCCGTCTCTGGCCCCAGCTCCTGCCAACCTAGCAGTTCGAAAGCAAGAAATTGCAAGTAGGTAAATAGGTACCACTTCAGTGGGAAGGCAACAGCGTTCCGTGTGCCTCAGCATCTAAATAAATGAATAAATAAATAAATAGTCATGCCAGCCACATGACCACGGAAACGTCTTTGGACAGCACTGGCTCTTCGGCTTTGAAATGGAGATGAGCACCGCGACCCTAGAGTCGGATTCGACTGGCTTATGAGCAAGGGAACCTTTACCTTTACCTTAATGTTTACCGTGAGACCATGAAAAGCGTATCTGCTGATTTCTGCAGATCAAGCTGTTGTGCCATTTGCCATTTTGCAGGAAGAGCTGCTCAGCTGGTAACCCTTAGACTAACTGATTGGTGAGTCAGTTCTGGATCATCCTGCCAAATCTTGTATATCTGTGCTATTCTCAACAGGAAAAAGCTGACATTGGTGAGGGAGATGCTGGCTGGCTGTGGAGCTGGGACTTGCCAGGTGGTGGTCACATCCCCAATGGAAATGCTGAAAATCCAACTCCAGGATGCTGGACGGCTAGGTGAGTGAGATCCCCTTTGTGGACAATGAAAGTGAAAGGCCATCAGATTGCTTTACTTCTTACAGTAAAACCTTCTGTTGTTGGGAGCTAGCACAGTGTGGCGCTAAGGGAACAAGCTATGATTTGGGTAGGGTTGCCGAGTCCCATCTTCCCCCCCAGCAGAGGACTTTGGAGGACATTCCTGGAGGGGGTGGGGCCTCCCCGACATGATGACGTCACATTGGAGACGTCCCCCTGTCCGCCCGATCTTCCAAAGGTGCCGGCTCCATGCACTTAAAGGAGCCCCTTTAAGTGCACGGGCCTGCATTTCCTGTGCCCGATCTCCACGGAGATCGGGCACAGGAAATGTAGGCACCCCTCTCCCTCCTCTCTCTCAAGAGAGAAGGGAGAAGGGTGGCTGTAGGTGTTGGGGCTTGGGGGCTGGGCTTCCTCCGGCAGCCAGCTGGCCTGCGGCAGCTAGAAGCCCCCAAAAAGCGGCGGACCCCTGGCAAACCGGGGGGGTTGGCAACCCTAGATTTGGGAGGTTTCCCAAAAGTGAAGATGGGCTTCACTTGAACCAAAAGGGAACCAGGCTGCTGCTGATTAATATCAAAAAGGTGGCAGAGCAGCTTTTAAACTAATCCCCAGGGGGAAGCCGACAGAAGCTGGGGAGCCTCCAGTTTGGGACAAGTCAGTTCAAAGGGATGATTGTGTAAATACTCAGGGTAATATTGATAGACGCATAACAGAATTTAAGGGTGAGGGTAGGGTGGCAACTGAGGATCATGTGTGACGATTAAGGGGATGAGGGAGGCGAAGGTTACTGGCAGGGGTCATTTCATAGAAAACGAGGTGCAGGAGCTCATTAGCATAACTCATTAGCGTAACTTATTTGCATATGCCACCCCCCCTGGCATCACCGGAAGTGTGTCAGAAGGCAACACCCACCGCTCAGGCTCCACTGGACTGTTTTGGATTGCTAGCTATTGGGGGGACGGGGACGTGCAGATCTGTCCTTGCAGAGGAAGGAGAGCTTGTACCTGAATAAAACTTGGTCTTAAAGGTGCCACTGGTCTATTTTGGACTGGGGTGGGGGGCTCTGCAACTTACCTGGCTGTTTCTTGTTCTGACTGAGGGCTGCTGAGAGCAGGGGGTGGGGCTTGTTGCATGTGCCCGCCCCCTGGGCTCTTTACTGCCGGAGCTCCGCTCCTGTGCCCTCCTGCAGGAAATGACCCCTGGTTACTGGAGAGAGAAATATATTATAGGTGTCTATATGCCAGTGCTAGAAGTCTCCGAGAAAAGATGGGGGAGCTGGAGTGCTTGGTGTTCAATGACAATTTAGATATAGTAGGTATCTCAGAAACATGGTGGAATGGGATAGTCATTCCTGGGTATAAGCTCTCTAGGCAGGACTGGGAGGGACGGGCTGGGAGGCATTGCATTGTACATCAAAGAGGGCATAGAATCCAATAAATTACAAGACATCAGGGGAATTAACTTCCCAACAGAAGCGATATGGGTGGAAATACTAGGCCCTAAACGATGGTGACTTAAAAATGGGAGTCTCCTATCGCCCACCCGATCAAACCCTTGAGGCTAATCTTGAAATGGAGAATAAAACTTTATTGGTCTTAAAGGTGCCACTGGACTCAAACTTTGTTTTGGAGATGGGATGTAAAGTATTTCAATAGATAAGTCTTGGTGGGGAACCATTTTAGTGTCTGTGGGAAGTTAGGAGCGCATGAAAAGAACGATGGAGCATTGTCGCTGTTTTGTTTTTTTAGCTGCTCATCAGCAGAAGGCGTTGAGACAGGACGGTCCAGCTGCCTCCACCTCCCATCCACCGCCAGGACAGCCTCACGCTTCTGGGTCCACGGCAGCCTCCCAACGGCCCTCTGCCGCTCTGATTGCCAGAGACCTCCTGCGAACCCAGGGACTAGCAGGCCTGTATAAAGGGCTGGGGGCCACCCTGCTCAGGTGAAAAGAGGGTGGGAGTTCTCCTTCCTTACTATAGCAGGTGACAAGCCCTGGTAGGTTCAAGAAATTGGGGAGGGGTGGGGCGCTTAACACCTGGACTACAGAGTCAGCTGGATAAAAGACTTCGCCCACACACCATGAAAGGAATCATTTTCAGCACACACACCTCTTCATGCCCCGGAAGGGATTTCATTATCTTCAAGTTGGAAGATCTTTGGCTTCCAAATGCCAAATGTTGGTTGGACTCGGAGCTCCTTTGCGCATGAGGTCTTCTCCACCGGTTTCAGGGTTGAGGGCAGTCCCATCCCATGCCTTTACCTGTGTTGCACAGCTGCTCTGGATAGTAAAGTCGATGGTGGGGAAAGCAGAAAAGAGCAAGAGTCCAGTAGCACCTTAAAGACTGACAAAATATGTGGCAGGGTAGGAGCTTTCATGAGTCACTCAGTTCTGAAGAAGTGACTCGTGAAAGCTCATCCCCTGCCACAAATTTTGTTAGTCTTTAAGGTGCTACTGGACTCTGCCTTGCTCTTTTCTATTGCTTTTGTTGTTGTTGTTCAGTCGCACAGTCGAGTCCGACTCTTTGCGACCCCATGGACCACATCACGCCAGGTCTTCCTGTCTTCCGCCGTCCTCTGAAGTTGGAGCCTTTTGATACTGTCCATGGGGTTTTCTTGGCAAAGATACTGGGATGGGTTGCCATTTCCTTCTCCAGTGGATCACACTTGGTCTGAGTTCTCTGCTGTGGCCTGTCCGTCTTGGGTGGCCCTCCACGGCATAGTCCACAGCCTCATCGAACCACGCAAGCCCCCTCGCCACGACAAGGCAGTGATCCATGAGGGGGTTTCTATTGCTACCAACTGACTAACATGGCTACCCATCTTGATGATGGGGGAAAGCTCATGTGCACATTTGGTGATGCGTGGAACTTTGTATTAGACCAGTATGAGAGCCTCTGACCACACCCAGGCCAAATACCTGCAAGGCAGGAGGAAAAGAAGCTAGCCTGTATCTCTTTCAGCTAGCAAGGGGATGTTCTGGTAGTATCGTGAACAACCAGACACATCAGCTTTGCTTCATCTTAAGAATGGTTTTTCATTTAGCATTAGCTCTCCGGCCCATTCTCTCTCTGGCTGGGCCTTCTTTCACCCAGCCTCTTGATCAGCTTACTCAGCCACGCCCTGCTATCCAGGAGCCCTGCAGGGCCAAAACTGAAAGACATGCAAAGCAGAAACTTGCCCCTAGAGGCTGCTTGTATACATTACAACAGTTCACAAATTTCCTCCCCTTTTATCTCCGTTTTTGGGGGGGGGGGGGGGGGGGAACAGTCAGAGGGTTTGATCAAAAGGTAGAGAAGGTAGGGTTACCAGACTAAGATCAACAGAAGTTGCAAGATAATTCTCTTCTGTTTCCCTCATTGGCTCAAGGGCAAGTGACACATCTAATTGCATGTAATCCATCTCCAGTGAAGAGTGAATAGCAGCAGAAAACGGATGGGAATGAAGAGCATGCCTAAACCCTTCCGTTTGCTTCTTTCCCCTCAAAACTGTCTCCAAATTCGCCTTTATCTCTATAGGAGTCCCGACCGGTGTTTGTGAGGTCACCTGGGCAGAGTGCTTTGCAAAGGAGAAGAGGCTACAAGCCAAGCTGTGTGATACTTGGGCTGCTATGCAATGTGTAGTTTCTGGCTGTTTTTGCACACTTTTCTACATTTCTACATTTATATTCCTCTGAGCTTCTAAGGAGCAAAAAACGGCTTACTTTTAGATTCCATGAGGGCTGATACTGAATTAGCTTAGAGGATCACATGCGCTTAGCTTCAGCAATTCAACCGTGTCCTTGGCCAGGGTGTTTGTTGGGTGTAGGTACTTTGCTCACAGTTGCACTGCACTATTGGGGTTTTAGTCAAAGCCACCTATAAGTATCAGTCTAAGGCTAAAAAAAGGGGGAATTATACATCGTCCAAAACATCTTAGCTGTTGTAAATGAAAGATGTGTGAGAATCCTAATGGGAACAGCAGTGTTCTTATGAGGGGCAAGGGGATTTTGAGGTGGTGATCCATGGTACTGGCTCAGTAAAAAGTCAGTCTGCAGCAAGAGGGTGTTTTATACGACTGTAGTGTTTACTAAGAAGTTCCTCTTCTACTCCCAACAGGGATGTTCCTTTTTCCATTATATATTTCCCACTCTTTGCCAACATCAACGAGCTGGGGCAGAAGCAACACGAAGAAAAAGCTTCTTTCTTGCACTCCTTCATGTCTGGCTGCGTGGCAGGATCCGTGGCTGCAGTGGCAGTAACCCCACTGGACGGTAACCATTAGACACTGCAGCTGTCCTAACTGTTGTTGTGCTACTGTGACTGGCCACAGTATTGCTAGTTCAAGCAAAGCCTCCTCAAGTCCTATGAGGAAAGGCTGGAGGAGCTGGGTACGTTTAGCCTGGAGAGGAGATGACTGAGGGGTGATATGATCACCATCTTCAAGTACTCGAAGGGCTGCCATATAGAGGATGGTGCAGAGTTGTTTTCTGTTGCCCCAGAAGGTTGGACCAGAACCAACGGGTTGCAATTAAATCAGAAGAGTTTTCGGCTAAACATTAGGAAGAACTTCCTGACAGTTAGAGCAGTTCCTCAGTGGAACAGGCTTCTTCCTCGGGAGGTGGTGGGCTCTCCATCTTTGGAGGTTTTCAAACAGAGGTTGGATGGCCATCTGACAGCAATGCTGCTGATTCTGTGAATTTAGGCAGACCATGAGAAGGAGGGCAGGAAGGGTTGCATCAGTGCTTCGTTCTTGTGGCCCTTTCTTACACGGCCAGGGAAATGCTGATCACCACTTTGGGGCCAGGAATCCATTTTTCGCCAGGCCAGTTTGGCCCCCAGGGATCCCGGAGGTGTTTTTTTTTTTTGCCATCTTCTGGGCATGGACCAGGGGTCACTTGGGGGGGGGTGTGGGAGGCATTTGTGGACTTCCTGCATTCTGCATGGGGTTGGACCCTGGAGACCCCTTCCAACTCTGTGATTCTGTGACTCAAAAGGTTAGCCTTTCACCTGAATGGCCCAGGCTAGCCCAATCTCGCCAGATCTCAGAAGTTAAGCGAAGTCGGCCTGATTAATATTTGGATAACAGACCACCACGGCAGTCCAGGGTGGTGACACAGAGGCAAGCCATGGCAAACCGCTTCTCCGTGTCTCGTGCCTTGAAAACCCTACGGGGTTGTCCTGAGTCAGCTGTGACTTGACGGCACTTTCCCACCACTAAGGCAAATTCCATTAAGACCCTTCTCAGGGCTGCTACACACGTGACACCACTTTCAACTATAGTGCAAAGCAAATCCACCCTTCAACAAGATGGGATAGGTGTTGTTTCTTCCTTAGCAGTTCACCCATCTGTTCCTGCTG